GAAGGTTTACTAATTCTCTAAGGAGAAAAGTATTCATTAAAATAGCATTGCAAATAAAAATGTTTATAATAATCCTATCTAAATAACCCTGTAATCTATCTAGCTATCTAAAAATGTATAGTATATAACTCTACATAGCACTCTAAGCAACTTAAATGAGTCAACTTAGAAAACTCTTAAAACATGTTATCCTAGCAGAAAACATATTACCCCTGTAACATGCCTAAAATTCTCTAATGGCTTCTCTTTACTTTAGGATTAAGACCAACTTTTTTTTTTTTTTTTTTGAGTTGGAGTCTCACTCTGTCACCCAGACTGGAGTGCAGTAGCCGGCTCCCGGCCACCGCAGCCTCCACCTGCTGGTCTGCGGCGATCCTTCCGCCTCAACCTTCCAAGTAGCTGGAACTACGGGCGTGCGCTACCACACCCAGCTAATTTTTTTGATTTATTGTAGAGATGAGGTCTCGCCAAACTCCCCAGGCAGGTCTCAAACCCGCGAGCTCAGGCAATCCACTCACCTCAGCCTCCCAAAGGCGCAGGATTACAGGCCGAGCCACCGAGCCCAGCAAGACCAACATTTTTAATGCGTTCTTCAAGTTCCTGCTTTATTCTATAACATCACCTTGTATCATATTCTCTCTACCTCTTCGTACTCAGCTACACTGACCTTTCTTCAAGTCTTTGAGTGTGCCTCAGGGCCTTTGTACATGTTTCTACTCAGTCTAGATCTTCTTCCTGCACCTGCCTTCTTTGCTCTTTAGCTCTTTGTTATTTAAGCCCTTCCATTCCAGGAGGCTTTTCAGCTCTTACTCATCCATCAGATCTTAGCTTAGTAGTCACCACCGTAAGAAAGTCATCTTAGGCTCCCTTATCTCAGTCAGATTCCCACTTTTAATGTGCATTCTTAAGCCATATTTCTTTCCTGTTTGGCACTGACCCCATTTATTTGGCATATTCATTATCTATTGCTGCATTTAAAAATCACCCCAAAATTTAGCAGCTCAAAACAACAGATATGTATTGTCTCAAAGTTTTCAAGAATCAGGAACTAAGGACAGGTTAGCTGGGTAGTTCTGGCTCAGTGTCTCTTGCAATTCAGATGTCAGTCAGACTGCAACTATTTGAGGGCTTGCCTGGGGCTGGTGGATCTGCCAAGTTCACTAATGTGACTACTGGCTGAAGGTGCCAGTTTCTTACCCTGTGCACTTCTCTGTAGCAGCCAGCTCACTCCAGAGCCAGTGATCCAAGAGAGAGCAGGCGAGAGGGAAGCTCCAGTAACTTTTATGATCTAAGCTTAGCAGTCACGTGCTGTCACTACTGCTTGACTCTGTTAGAAATAAGTCTTTAAGTCCAACTCACACTAAAAGGGAGAGAAATGAGGCTCCATCTTTTGAGGGAATATTTGGATATATTTTTAAATTACCCCATGTGGGGATTTAGGTAAATACCTATCTCCCTTATAAGACTAAGGTTCCTTGAAAACAGGATCCCTGTGTCTCTTATTCCCTTTTGTGTTCCTAGTACCTTCCAGGATGCCTGACAGAGCATGGTCATTCAATAAATACTGAATGAATGAATGAGTGAAAGAAACTTTGCACTTGAGTCCCAGGTCTGGGAACTTTGTACAAATTATGTAACATTCATCTCTGGTTTGGAAGAATGGACATAACCATTGCTATCTCTCAAATTATTATAAGCCGGACTCAGTGGCTCAGCCTGTAATCTCGTGCCTTTGGGAGGCTAAGGTGAGTAGATTGCCTGAGCCCACGGGTTCGAGACCCACCTGGGCAACTTGGCGAGACCTCATCTCTACAATAAACCCAGAAAATTAGCCGGGCGTGGTAGCGCGCACCTGTAGTTCCAGCTACTTGGAAGGCTGAGGCGGAAGGATCGCCGGAGCCCAGTGGATCGAGGCTGCGGTGGTCAGGAGCAGCCACTGCACTCCAGTCTGGGCAACAGAGTGAGACTCCGACTCAAAAAAAAAAAAAAAATATATATATATATAGCCTATGCAAAGCACCTAGAATGCTCTGGCACAGAAAGTGCTCATGAAATGTTATTTCTCTTCATATTCCTTGCCTCCACACATGCAATCTACCCTGAGCCATGTGGATTCTACTTATCTTTTTTTCTTTCTAATCTCTCCTAGTCTTTTGTTCCATTTCAGTGGCTACTGCTGAGACTTTCCTAACACATTCCTTTCTAGACCTTCTAACAATTCCCTGTGCCTCTGTTCTCTGTTTAGTGCAATTCACCCCACACGCCGATTAAATTTGTCTTCATTTCTGCATCCTCTATTGCTGTTGTGCTATACTTTGAACACCACTGGTATTATATTAAGGAGTCATGTGTTGTACTTGCTAAGTGTATAACAAATTTTTGTTGAATAGAATTTGAATTTCAGGTCTCTTTTAGTTCCTTATTTTTACTGCATTAATTATACACCCAAGCCCAGGCACCAGGATGAGATAAAGAAACATGTTCTGCCAATGCTCATGGTTACACATTTGACTTCTAGCCACGTGTAATTACGTTCCTCTCTTGTCTACACAAACAAAATGGCCCACAAATAGCAAATTCTTTAGTAGAGCAATTGCAGGATATAACACAAGTTACATTTTCTTTTTATTTTATCTCTAAAGCAGGCACCTTCACCCTAATACTAATAGGACCTCTGTGCTCATTTTTGAAGCTTTGTAATGTTACCATTACTGCTAACAGCGAGAAGATTGTGAATATGTTTAAAAACAGAAAATTCTTAGATGATCTGTGTTATATAAATAATATGCAGTGATAAGATTGGTGAAAACTTGTCAGATTGTCAGATGAATGAAAATATGAGACTGGTAATATAAGAAATTCTGCCTTTAGATTTTTATGATATGCTACAAAAGCAGATGATTTTTCATGCTTTAATGAGTAAAAATCTGCTTAAAACATACACCCCTAGGGAAATACTTGCTTCTGAGTCACAAATATACATTTTTGGAAACATATGGTAAAATTTCGGGCTGAGACTAGCAAAGATATGAAAACTATTTTCTCAGTGACTCCTTAATAAGATACAATATAATTGATGTTCAAGTAATTTCATCTTGTTATTTTCATTCTGGTAGAGCAAAGAGACTTTGAAATTAGAGTTCCCTGCTTCCCATTTTCTACAAGGAATCGTGATTGCTTGAATTCTATAAATACAAATATATGTATATGCAACCATCTTCAGATGAACAATGGTCAAAAACGATTTCTTGTATTTAAAGGTTAGTAATTTACCTTTCTTCTTTCTAATTTAACTTTGGATTTCAATAAATTCAGTGAACAATCCCTCCTTTGTATTCATATTTATAAACTTTATACTAAAAAGAGGTAGAAAGTCAGGTGTGATGGCTCACACCTGTAATCCCAGCACTCTGGGAGGCCAAGGCAAGAGGATTGCTTGAGCCCAGGTTTGAGACAAACCTAGGCAACATAGGAAGACCTCATCTCTACAAAAACAACAACAACAACAACAATTAACCAGGTGTGGTGGCCCAGACCTGTATTCACAGCTACTCAGAAGGCTGAGACCGGAGAACTGCTTGAGCCCAGGAGTGTAAGACTGCAGTAAGCCGTGATTGTGCCACTGCACTCCATCCTGGGTGACAGGCGACCCCACCTCAAATAAATAAATAAATACTTTCACTTTTGGTCAAATGGTAAAACACCTGAAGGGTGAATAGACTCACATAACATTAAAACTTGGAGATCTATCAAAAAGCTTCATTTTACAAATGAGGAAGCCAAGGATCAACATGTTTAAGGACCTCACAACTCTGCACCACATGGCCAGAAACCCTGGCCCTGCAATATGCTTCTTCTTGACATTTGCCCAAACTGCCCAGTGACTAGTCTACCCCGGAGCATATGAATCACAGCATTATTGATACATTGGGCAGGACAACTCTTTTGCAGGGGCTATCCCGGGCATTGTAGGATAGTTACCAGAATCCCTGGACTGTGCCCTCTAGACAGTAGGATTATGCCCTTCACACTAGTTGTGGCAACAAAAATTTTTAATATCCTATTAAGGAGTCACTGAGAAAATAGTTTTAATATCTTTGCTAGCCTCAGCCTGAAATCTTACTATGTGTTTCCAAAAGATACATATTTGGGACTCAAAAGTAACATTTCCCTAGGTATGTATGTTTTAAGCAGATTTTTATTCATTAAAACATGAAAAATCATCCACTTTTGTAGCATGTCAGAAAAATGTAAAGGCAGAATTTCTTACATTACCAGTATCATATTTTCATTCATTTGACAAGTTTTCACCACTTATCACTGCATATTATCTATATAGCATAGATCATCTAAGAATTTTCTATCTTCAAACTTATTTACAATATGTTCCAGATATTGTCAAATGTTCCCCGGAGGCAAAAATCACCCCTAGTTGAGAACCATTGATTTATCTGAGGCCGGTTACTGTTTTTTTGTTTTTGAATTGGAATCTCACTCTATCACCCAGACTGGAGTGCAGTAGCATGCTCATGGCCACCACAGCCTCAATCCGCTGGGCTCAGGCGATCCTTCAATCTCAGCCTTCCAAGTAGCTGGAACCACAGGCATGCACGACCACAATAAGATAATTTTTTTATTTATTGTAGAGATGAGGTCACATCAACTTGCCCAGGCTGGTCTTGAACCCCTGGACTCAGGCAATCCTCTCGCCTCTGCCTTCCAAAGTGTCAGGATTACAGGCATGAGCCATAGCACCTGGCTGATTATTGTTTTAATGAACTGTCCTTTTTTATGTTTTTTGGGCAAATACCTCAAGATACAAATGCATCATGTTCAGTATTAAGGCTCTATTGTTTATATGAGAAATCACAGTCTTTCCAAGAAAAGGGACTTCACTTTTTTTTGGCACAGGCAAATAGAGCTAAGAACACATTCTGACTAGGACTAGACCAACCCAACTTTTAGAGTAAGTGCGGTTAAGAAAAGAACAAAATACAAACTGGCAGTTTTGATCCATGTTTAATGAAAAAGAAGTTACATGAATAGAAATTGACACATAACAAAGAGATTGATTTGGGAAAAGATGATGATAACTAGAACAAGGGAAAATCATTTTAATTCTGAATTTAATCACATGTTCCTATAAGTTATTACTGATCTAAAGCATTTTCTTAAATCAAGAACAAAGTAATAGTTGTAATTTCACTCACGTTTTCATGGGAACTCACCCAAGTAATTTCAAATAATGTTTCCATGCCCCCAATCCCCCAGAACACACACAGGCAAAGGCAGGGTTGTTTACCAGGAGGTAACGTGGCATGAAGAAAATGCAGCCTTATCTGTTTTTTATTACAACAGCAAGTTAGCACTGGCAAGTGTGCTTTGGGCACAAACATGATTTCTGCTAATATTTTCATGAGGAAGCTTTTATGATATGCCACCATTTATTCTTAGTACAATCAATCATTGAGGTATTAAATCTGACTCTGGTGAGCATAAATATATGCAGAGAAGTTTGACGGTTTAGATTTGAGGACATTTGAAATATTAAAGGCCTGAAACTTAAAAATACACAAGATGTAGAAGTACAGTGAGCATCTTACTGGTCTGTTGCATGGCTTAACTCTGCACAGCTCATGATTCTTGGCGAGTCAGTCGATGTTCTATTTTTATTATTTTCTACCCTGATGTGCAGTATAATCACATCTTCCTAAAAAATAAAAGTATACATATCCTTGGAAAGAAATTCTAATCTCCAGAAACATGTACTAATAATAGTTTCACGTTAATGATCTCACTTAAAATATTTCTTTCTCTCGAGCTAGAAGCTGGCAAGCATTAAACTCATTATAGACGTTTGCCTTGTGGGTCATACAGAGAAGCATTAGATCTGATTCACTATTCTTTTAAAATAGAAATCTTTTGGCTAGTGCAAAACAGTCACCCACCTCTTACGCACGTATTGAATAATTTAAAGTTAGGATGAGCCCTGCCTCTTCTGATACTGTATTCTGAGTTTTTCCAGTTGTTCCACACATTGGGACTGAGCCAACTTCAATGTTCGATTCTCCTCCGTCAGAGCCTCGAATTCCCGGACAAGCTGAGCTGCATCCACCTTCTCTTTTTCTGCCTGGTCCAGCTTGGCAATGAGCTCCTTTCTGAAGGTTCGGGGCACAGGGCAGGAAGAAGCACAGAATTCAATGCAAACAATTAAATTATTCAGTAATAGCATGATGGAAACAAAATGTTTCATCCTGCTCTTCTCAGTTTTTACTCTTTTCTACCTGCCTCCAATGATTTACTTTTATTTTTCCAGTTTTGTGACTATTGGATCTTTTTATTTTATCCTAGAACTGCTACTAGACATATCCAAAAATACTAAACACATACAAAAAACCCCTAGGTCTTCTGATAGTCCAAAAGGGTGATCTTTTCAAGAGTATAAGATACTGTAAAAATTATAACTAATTTAGAAAAAAATCATTTTATAATTTTTCATAATTATGAACTTATAATGTCTTGTCCTCTACTGAGTCTTCATCCTCCATATTCAGCTGTTATCTCCCTTTGTTTTCTTTATTTGAGTTTAACAAATCTTCACCAGGCTTCTCTGAACTGCAAACTCCACCTCCATCCTCATAGATATTATTTCCATGTATTTCCCTAATCCTTACATGTATATTGCAGCACTAATTACCAAAATGTGTCTACATTTGGTAGTGATCTGGCTCTAGAATTGAGGAAGTAGGCTGAGGGTGCTGGAGGAAACCCGTAGTGACCATTCAGTTCACAGTAAATATTTGTAAATAATTTATTGATGTAAATACACATATTATAAGGAGCTAAAGATCTGTAGTCCATGTTTAGATTTAATAAACATGACAGCACTAAAGGACTCTAGGTCTGCTGCCCTTACAGTGGTCAGTTCATCCTAACCTAGACTAAACCTGTCTGAATTCTCCTTTGTCTCACATTCTTCCTCCTCTGTAGGGCAAAAAGCAGTTGGCAAATGTTCTTTAGATACATCGTTTTCAAGATGAGTTTCCTAAATGAAAGACTTTGTACTGCTGGTGTTAATGTTAGATAATTGTAGATCATTCCTAGGCAAAGTTTCATTTAAGACTTTCTAATTAAGTTAAGTAAATATGTATTTTTAAATATGAACCAACTCAACAAACCTGTAATTTCAAAGCTCTTGTGCCCTAAGAGGAGGCTAATGAAAAAAAAAAAAAACTCTATGTAAAGATGATTTAAAGAAAAGTATTGAGTAAATAATAGCACATATATGGAATAATTCATGGAGTTGTACCCAAATGACCAAAGCTTGGGATACACTGCCACCAATCTCAGTCTCAAGGCCTCTCCTCAGTCCCACACCTCCCTGACCCCACAAAGCCCCCAAGGTTCTGTGGGAGTGTTCTCAGGGAACAGTTTTGAACCCCTGATCTAAAGTAGTAACGCCCTTGGCTCAGTGTGTAAACATGCAAATATTGTCCTTCTAACATTCAATCATTCATCTCTACTGTTGGTCACATTTCTAAATCCTCTCATCTTCCTTCTTTCACTGATCAGATACTGATCTGATACTACATAATATGAAGAGAAGAAGAAAGGAAAGTATATATTCCTGGACAGCAATAACATTCACATTTATATTGAAAATAAACCCATGTCTGTCGGGACCAAGGAGGTTTTCCCCATCAAAAATACAACCTCTAATGTTTCAATAATCCAGAGGTAGAAAATCTCATTCAGTTAAATCTCCAAACAGTTTTGATTATATAATACTATTAGTTTATTTAAAAACCAAACTTTGAACACAAATCCAAACGATTTCTATATTTGTCTGAATATTCATTCATAAATTATATACAAGTTAATACATTATGTGTATTATAAAGTATATCCAAACATAGATATGTAACAAGATAAGATTGAACGCTAAAACTAGCAGGGGAAATTCTGATGAGGAACAAGATATTTACATAATCTCAAAGTGTCTCCCTGCAAGTTAATTAATTACAAAGGGGAGAAGTGTGGAGAAAACTGGAAGACCACTTTAACCAAATGACCAAGGTTGATACTGCTAATGATTCAATAAGTAGATACTATATACACCACAAGGGACCACATCATTTCTGTGATATTCCTGCCAAAAAATGCATAACCTAAATTAATCATACAGACAACATCAAATTCTACAAAATTGCTAGTCTGTATCTTAAAAAATGTTAAGAGCTGTTCCATATTTAAATAAACCAAAGAGAAATGACACCTAAGTGCAATGTAAAATTCTGGACTGAAAAAAATATCTTTGAGGAAGATTACTGGAAAATTGATACAATTTGAATATGGACTGTGAAATAAATTATAGTACTATATTAATGCTAAATTTCTTTATTTTAATTATTATACCATAGCTAAATTAGAGAATGTGCTTGTTCTTAGAAAATACTCATGGAAGGTTTTAGGGCAATGGATGCATATATACATATGCATATGTATATTTATACACACATATACACACATATGCATGCACACACATTAGTGCTAACATTAGATATTTGTAGATCATTCCTAGGCAAAGTTCCATTTAAGATATATATAATGTGTGTACATATATGTATGTGTGTGTGTGTGTGTGTGCGTGTGTGTGTGCATCAGAGTGTGTGTGTGTGTGTGTGTGTGTGTGTGTGAGTGTATCAGAGAGAGAGAGGAAGAAAGAAAACTCCAATAGTGTTGTGGGAGGAAGCATAAGACACAACTGGGGAAATTTTTATGTATCTATTTATTCACTTTTAATTTTTCATTTTAAAGATGTGAGATACAATTCAGGGTTAGGTATGCAAAAATTCATTATGCAGGTACCCTTGTTGATGAGGTGGGAAATTTTTAATAACTAGTGAATCCAGTAAAAGATACATGAGAATTATTTATACTACTTTTGTATCTTTTCTCTAAGTTTGAAAACTATCAAAATAAAGTTATTATGGAAAAAGGACAAAAAGTAAATAAAAATAGAAGTTTTAGTATTTTCTTCCTGAACCCAGTGGTCAACGTTGTGTATCCAATTTGGTGTCCACTGAGCAAAACAAGGCATTGGAGAGAAAGTACCCAATCAGGGAAAAATGGAAGATAATCTGAATCACTGATATAATTTACGCAAAGTTTTGGGGAGGTTCTTACTGATCTTTTGTCTTTCCATGGTGTCTAGAACAGAATAGTCTCCTAGTAAATACTTGCCAAATGAATAATTGAAGAAAAAGATAGCTCAGAAATAAATACAGTAATTTATATTTTAAAGATGAGGAAACAGAAACTCACAGTGTTGTATTTAATTGAAAAAGTCAGCTGGGGCATGGTGGCTTACGCCCGTAATCCCAACACTTCGGGAGGTAGAGCCAAGAGGATTGCCTGAGCCCAATGGTTCAAGACCAGTGTGGGCAACTTGGCAAGACCTCATCTCTACAATAAATCAAAAACCTTAGCCAGGTGTGATGACACATGCCTGTGGGTTTATCTACTTGGAAAGCTGAGGTAGAAGTCTCACCTGAGCCCAGCCAGTCAAGACTGTGGTGGCCATGAGTGCTACAGCCTGCATGACAGAGTGAGACTCTGACTCAAAAAAAAGAGAAAAGAAAAGAAAAAGTCATACAGCTAATAAGAGCCAGAAATCAAGCCTATCTTGCTGATTAAATGTGTGGAGCTTTGTGCTCCTAAGCATAGTTTAAGCTGTAAATATCAATAATTAAATATTGATTAGTAAAATTTCTCCTGTAACTATCTTGAAGAAATTAATGAGTAAAACCTTTGTAAGAAAAGAGACACACTCTAAATCCTGTAGCCATCAGATCATATATTCCTGTTCTATTTTTTCCTTTCAAATTACTTGTGTCATATAAATAATTTAGCTGGAAATAGAGTTTCACTTTCGAATTGTGGTCTGGGAGTTGGTAGTACTGAGAATAACAATGGCTATTTTCCTGGTTTCATATCTAACCTCATTTAAAACTCCTGAAGTTATCCGTCATTAGTTATGACTGGTATAGATAATAAATCACAAAATCACAGATTTTACAACTAAAAAGAATGGTCAAAATTGTCTAGTCCAATCTTCTTGCATTGGAGAAAGTCAATAATAATTTCTTCTTTGCTGGAATTCAGAAGACTCAATTGATAGGTTTCTAAGTTAGTTTCATGTATTTAATAAGCAATTATACAGATATTCAATGAAGACTGTCAAAGAGTCTATTGCTTCCTTTCTCAACCTATTTATACCAACATATTAATGCTCATCCATTAGCAATTCATAACTAAGTTCTGGGTACACCAAACTACAGAAACAATCTTATAAATAGATGATCTGAAGAACAAATCAATATTTATAATTGGCTAGAATGTGGTCCTTCTTTTGATTTCTTGGTTGTCATCTATCATTCCCTTCAGTGTAATGTGTTAAGCGGGTAGAAGATCATAGTTACAGAAATCTTATTTCTGAGTCAAGAACTTGTAACATAGCTTTCCACACGATATACTTCAACAACCTAAAGGTCATACCTTGGGGTCTACCATAAATCATCTGCTACATCCATCCTAAGCTATATGCCTGGAAAAATCTTTAGTTTCTAAAACAAATGGAGGAAGGGAAAGTCCAAGTGTGTTGGTAAAGTAAACTTTGAAATTTTGTGGAAATTAATTACAAAATTAAGGAGGTTCTTTATGTTGGAAGAGGTTGAGACATGAATTCACCCTTGGGACAAATACTACTCTATTCTGGGAAGACCACCACCATAGTTCTCAGAACTTACAAGGTGGGCTAAGGACTTTTATTTGGAAAAGAGAAAATTCTAGACAGTTTGGCCCCAATGAGCTAATAGTTTGGGGTAATAATGGAATAAAATAAGATCTTCATTGTAGGAAGAATTATTTTATTTTTTTAATTAATCAATATTTTTTATTATGGTGTTGTGGGGTTAGTTAAGGGTTAGGTATACAAGTACGTTTCATTCAGGCATCCTGTTGATAAGAGGTGTTTCCCCATTCCCAGACAGATATTTGCTGCCATTAATCCCGTCTCCCCCCCCCCATAGTTTCCCACCACTGTCAGTCATTTTCTTATAGTATTACATTGGATGTTGAAGGTCCATTATATGAGTGA